ATTATAGGTAACATTTACTAAGCATGCACTGTATGGCAGGTAGGGTCCTCAGCGTTTCCCATGTTTAATTCATTTACTGTGCACAAACAACACTATAAGATATATTACAATAATCCTCCCTTTTTTAGATGAGGAAACTGGGTCACAGAGAGGTTAAGTAAGTTAGTCGAAGTTATACAGCTAGTAGCTTTGTTGTTTATCTTATTAGACAAGTATCTCTTGAGAACCCACTCTGGGACAGGCCTTGGAGGTAGGAAGACAAACACACACCATTGATCTGAGCCTTGAAGGAGTACATACTTGCTTCTTTGGTGGGGAAGGGAATTCTAGGAAGAGGGAACAGCATGGGGAAGATTTCTGGGCTTTAGGAGCTATGTGCAGCTCAGAGCAGGGTAGAGCATTAGGTGCATGTTGGGAGAGGGGGTAGTAGGGCTGGAGGTAGCTGGCAGGTGCTGGGGGACCCCATAGGTCAGTCCAGAGCCTCTGACTTGATCTGGGGGGCTCTGGGGAGCCAGGCAAGGATTTCAGTGTGGGGAGTGATTGGATTGGATGGAGTTATTTCATGATTGCTCCAGCTTGGGAGGAATAAGGAGTGTCCAAACCTCTTAGATAAAATATGATCCTTGGTAAGATAATATGTCAACAACCCATCATCTGGCCCTGGGAGGGAGGGCTGCTCTAGCCTGGGGTTCCACCACCAAGGAATCTGGGACTGTGGGGTTTGATGAGGGTTAGTCATACCTCCAGGGAAGGACTAATGGTCACTACCTCTGCTACTACTGAGATTAGTTGGTTTATCTCAGTATTTACCATGTGCTAATCACAGCACTGATAGAAAACAGGTGTGGTTTTTCTGGCTTCACTATCTTTGAGTCTGATTTTATGCTAGGCGGCCATAGGCAAATGCTAAGGTTTGGGGTAGTTCTACTGGGGAGAGGGGGTTGTCTGATGGGCATTTCAAAAGGAATGGAAGTTCTGTAGGAGGCAACCATCACAGAAGTAGGATCTGGCCCCCACAGGCCTCTGAAGTCCTTGGGAAGAAGCCATTGGCTGTGTGGGTGACCCTGTACTGGCTGGGGAGACAGGTGGGCACTGGTGACATGATGGCTGGGACAAGGGCTGCTAACATTCCTGCCTGGCTGGTGAGGAAGTCTGTTTCCAGCATTTGCCTTTGAACTGTGTTCTGCTTTAGTGGACAAGCAGTCTCTGGATACAGGGATGAGGGTAGGCAAAGGTTCTTGGAAATGAAAAAGTAGCGTGGGTCTAGATGCCCCAGGAGTGACAGGCCCACACTCCCTGCCAGACATCCGTGACACTGCAGTGGCACTTGTATGAGATGGGACGCAGCCTGCGGGTGCAGGAGACGCTGCGGGACGAGGTCCTGGCTGCCCGGCGCCTGGCCCAGGGGGACATGAACAAGCTGCTGCAGTCGGTCCCACTCCTCAAAGCCAGCATCAAGGAGACACTGAGGCAAGCCCGCCGCACCCCACCCCCCGCATCCCTGGATGGGGCTCTCAGGGCGGCCGGGTGGGGGTGAGTAGCAGGACGTGAGGTGCCTCGGGGAGGCCAGGGAGGGGGAAATGGAATCTGGGTCCTGCCTGCAGATTCCCTCCAGAGTTGAGCGGCCGTGCTGGGGGCAGGGGCTTTGTCCAGGCCTCAGGGCATCAGCTTCAGTGTGTGTTCCTCTGGCAGACTCCACCCCATCTCTGTGACCCTGCAGAGATACCTCAACAATGAATTGGTCCTTCGAGATTACCTGATCCCAACTAAGGTAGGTGCAGCGGAGGGCTGTGGGCTCTGTCAGCAGATGGGGAGGCTGGGGGCAGACTGCAACCAGGCACAGACAGTGGTGATGGGGCTTCTGTCCTGCCCTTCTTCCTGGAGCTGGCCAGTGGGGTCCTCGGTAGAAGCATCAAGTTTGAATGAAGTGCAGAGGTGGTGGGCACAGTGGGTAACAATCTCTGGAATGTTGCTGGAGCCCAGAGTGAGGGGGGAGACCCCACAGGCTGTCTGGTCTTGGTGGGGTGGGTGGGTGGGAGTGCAGGAAGGGGTGGAGCCTTGTTCAGGGTCACACAGCAGGCTGTGTTCTGTGCTGGAGAGCTGGGCAGCCAGGCTGGGGAGCCGGGATGGGGAGACTGGGTCATGCTCCAGGCTGGGAGGAGGTACGGCCTGCTCAGGCCTCTGTCCACCTTGTCCCCAGACTCTGGTGCAGGTGGCTGTTTATGCCATGGGCCAAGACCCCACCTTCTTCTCCAAACCGAACAAGTTTGACCCAACCCGATGGCTGAATAAAGACAAGGGTCTCATGCACTTCCGGAACCTGGGCTTTGGCTGGGGCGTGCGACAGTGCATGGGCCGGCGGGTCGCTGAGCTTGAGATGACGCTCTTCCTCATTCATGTGAGCCTAGCATGGGGACAGCTGGGCACCCGAGGCTGACTGACCCCCTGCCCCCGTCTCTGTCCAGAGCCCCGGGGGTGTGGGGCCAGGGTCATCTGTCTCCCATTACTTGCCCCCACCTGCCGTTCTCCTCTGTCTCCTGTTTCGGGCTAATCCACTCATCATCCACTGGTACTCCCTGGTCATCTGTTCCCCCCAAGTGGTGATGGGATGGGGGTGGAGCTGGATAAAGTTTTCCTGACCTGGATCAACACTGGGATCTGAGTCTGAATGGGGGACCCGAGGCAGCTGCACTTGAAGTCATTTCTGCTGGCCCCTCACCCTGACCCCTACAGCAGCTCAGGAACCAGCAGGATTCAATCTCTCTGCTGCCTGGGGTTGGGGGCAAGTTAGAGACTCAAGCAAAAGCCTGAATCAAGGGGTCAACAACACCATTAAATGTGAAACAGGGTTAAATAGGAGCTGGCGGTAGACTCCTCCCTGGGGGCACCTCCAATCCCACCATCCCACTCCGCAGGCCCTGCCTGCAGGTGAACAAGCCTGGCCAAGGGAACATGGAACTTCCCCAGCTCTCTCCTAAGCCCACCACCCCTCTTTCTCAGATTCTAGAGAACTTCAGAATTGAAATCCAGCATCTCAATGACGTGGGCACTGCTTTCAACCTCATCCTGACGCCTGAGGAGCCCATCTTCCTCACCTTCAAACCCTTCAACGAGGGGCCCCCCCAGGCGAGATTAGAGGGTGTGGGCTCCGCCCCTCCTGCCATTCAGGCCGGCGGTGGTGTGGGAGGAGGGTCTGGGGGGGTGGGGCTCACGGAGGCGTCTGCTTCTTCAGACCCTGGTCCCCCTCCCCAGTTCCTTTCTGGCCGGCTCTGACCAGATGGAGCTGGCGCTCAGCGGCTGACTGTCCTAGCTCATCTGAGGCAGACATCTTTCGCCTGCCTCTTCCCCCTGTTCACCTATCCTGTGTAGGCAATAAACAGCTGAACTATGTGAAGTGTTTTCATTTAAACGGACCCCTAAGGTATCCATCATTCCTGTGCAGAAGATCCCTGACCTGGATCAACACTGGGATCTGAGTCTGAATGGGGGGCCCCCCAAGGCAGCTGCGTTTGAAGTCATTTCTGCTGGCCCCTCACCCCCCACCCCTACAGCAGCTCAGGAACCAGCAAGATTCAACCTCTCTGCTGCCTGGGATTGGGGGCGAGTTAGAGCAGGTGGAGGGCCATTGCTACTGTGACTGGAGCAGCAAGCAGAGGGACAAAGGACCTGGCAGAGTTCTGCTGAGAGAACAGGGCAGGCAGAAAGGTGTGGGCCAATCTGGGCTTCTAGGGCAGGCTTACCCATCAGGCATGAGGCTTGTTCAGGGCTGAACCCTGAGTGGGAGCTCCCTGTGGGCTCACGAGGACTCCCTGCTAAGCGCCAGCCGTACTCTTGGGCTCAGCCAGGACTGAGGCATGTGAATAAGGGGCCAAGGTGGGATGGCTGACCCCAGGGAAGAGAGGCCAGATCTCTACGTGATCTAACCCTTCTCTAGGTTTCCTCAGGCCTTGGCTGCCTGCCCCAGGGCTCATGCCCACTTGTGCAAGCTCTGGGCAGTAGGCAGGGATTCTGCAGCCGAGTCTTTGGTGCATTATTTGGACTGCCTGACACTGGTCCCAATTTCAGTCCCCTTAGTCCCCTCTGAGTTCTGTAACTCCTGACTTGACCAAGGGCCTGATCCTGAGCCCTCAGCTCCCCAAACCCAAGTCCTGCTGGCAGACAGGTGAGTTAGTCCCGCTAGGGACAATAACCCAGCCAGCTTGGTTTGCTCTACCAGGATCTGAAGTTCTGAGTCCCTCTTGGAGCCTTTCTGCTTCTTGCCAGTCACATGATCCTCTTCCTTGTTGACTTTCCTCTTTCTTCTTCCTGCTTCTTTTCTCTTCTCCAGGCCTGAGTTGTCTTTGATTCAGAGGTGTTACAGCTGACAGGGACTTACTGGCATAGAAGTCAACCTCTGCATAGGATAGATGAGGACACTGAAGCCCAGAAAGGTTGCTTGAGTCACCCAAGGTGACACAGCATGATTATAGCTAGAAACCTAGGCCTCCTGACTCCCAGTGGAGGGCTACTTCCCCTGCCCTCACCCGCTTTTCTGCCCCGGCAACATTTGGACACAACATTGCCAGCTCAGCCTAGCCCTGGTTAATGAGTTATTTCATACTAACATGCAACTTATTGCCAGAGGCAGGCTTCAAGTCTTTCCCTTCTTAAGAAAAAGAGAGCCCAAACTTGAAAAGAAGGGATTCCGATATGATAGGTGTTTGGGGACAGGTGGCAAGTTCTAGCCTCCTTCACATCTCTCAACAGAGCTGGCCTTTGATGGTCTCACTTCTTCTGGAGATCTGGAAGGGGCCTGTCTCTTGGCTTCTGCCCTGGAAGGCCTTTTCTCACAACCTTCCTGGGTTCACTATGGCCTTTGGATCTCTAAAGATGGTAGCTCCTGGGACAGGCAAGAGTCTATCGGGCTTCGGCAGAGGACTTAGGCCTAGAGTGAGGTCTGGAAGGAGGAAGCCGGGCCCCCTAGGATGCCCTGTTCCAGGAAAGAGGCAAATGCTTCCTGACCTGTAGCATTTAATAAAGTCATTTTTAGAGGCTGGGGATGAGACTCCAGCACACAGAGAGGGAGGTGGCTCCAGCACTAAGATCTGTGGGGTCTCAGTTCTTCTGGGAGTCCGAGTGCTTGTTGAGCTTAGTCTCCGAACTGGGCATCAAGGGGTCCAGCTTTGAGGGTCGCCTGTGGTCCCTGGTGTGGGTTGAGGGGTTCTGTGGTGTACAAAGCAAAGTGAAGTAAGTGCACCCCTGCCCCCAGGAGGATTACCCATGAAAGTGTGTCTTGCTTGGTAAGCCATGCCTCAGAGGACTCAGAACCCAGTGGGACATGTCTTCTCACAAGGTTCCTAAACCCATTTAACCCTGGCAGGTCACACCTGCTTGCTCTGAGTCCCCAGGGCTCAACAGGTGGGTTCACAAAGGTGCCCCTGGGTTCCCTGTCAGCTCCCCTTCTTTTTCAGGCCTTTCCAGGAGCCTGGAAGGGAGCAGAGTGCTGATGGCTGGAGAGCAGCAGCAACCAGAGTTCTGGCTTTGGGGGACTGGTTAGCCTGGGGCTGAGCCTGGGCTGTGAATAGGCCTACTAGCTCTTGGGAAGCTGAGAATGTTTCTCTCTGGCAACATGCTCCCACCCCCGGCAGGTCTGCAGCACTGCAGTTGCCCAAGAAGGGGGCACTGATGGGAGAATCCCAGGCACTGCAGCGTTGGGGGGAGCCCCACTGCTACTCTGCCTATGAGCAAACCTGGTCCTAAAGTACAGCCAGTGTCAGAGCATTCGAGAAATGCCCACTTGGGCAACCCTTCATCCACAGCCGTCAGCTTGATTCTAACCACTGCCTGCGGGGGAAGGGGAGCCTTGGCCGGGTTTTCTATCCCCCTGAGGCAGGAGGAGAGCTGAGACCAGGCAAGGCTTTCTGTTGCTGACAAAGCAGAAGCTGAGCCCGGGTCTTCTGACTTCCAGCTGGGCAGTGGCTACCCTGGACCATTTTTCTCAAGGCCCAGTGGCTCAGGAGGTGCGGTGACTGCCAGCCCCACTGCCCGAACCCCGAGGAGCTCCTCCAGAGGGCTCACTCACCGGCAGGTCTGTGATGACGGAGTCCGAGGGGTGTCCCAAGCCGTACTCTTGTTCCTGTAACCGTGTGACCAAGTCCTGCTTCTCCCGTCCCCAGCGTCGAGCTGAATCCTCCAGCTGCCAACAGACAGAGAGAGAGAGATGGGACCCAGAGGAAGTGCCCCTTGAGCTGCGACAGCCAGAGCCAGAGCCTGCTGTCGAGGCAGTAAGTAAACCCCTGGGCAACGTGGGCTTGCTCCCTTCCCAAGAGACCTCAGGGGCGGCAGGGGTGGGTGGAGAGGGACCAAGTGACAGTCAAAGACCCAAATGGGCCTTCTCTGAGTACCAACAAGGTACTGAGCCCTAATTCTGGGTCCACACTCATCCTTGACTCTGGTCATGGACGGAGCCCTGGCCCTGCTCACACTCTGAGGCCTGGCCCTGCTCATACATGGACACTGGCTCTGGGCCAAGCGGTGAGCCTGCCCAGCCTGACGGACCCCTGAGCCTCACCTACCTGGCTTTCCAGGGACAGGATGCGGCTCTGAGCTTGTTCCAGTTTGGCCAGGAGGTTAAACTTGTCTGAAGGATTGGCAAGGAAATCCTGTGGGCAAAGCAGAAAATCACAGATGGCCCCATCTGGGGGCTGCAGCCATGTGAGCTCAGGAGGCCAGGAGACACTGGGATAAACCAGCCAGGTCTGAGCTCCAACTTCTGCTCCAAATGCAGGGCCTCAGACTCAGGGCTGAAATCTCTTCCCCAAGTTCAGATCGGTATGGCATGTGCTTTTTTCATAGCTGCTCTCCCCACAGATTTTGGGTGAAGTTTTTGCACATCAAGTTTTAGATGTAAAATGCACCAGGGAGCACCTGTTAGCACACAGAAAGGAATATTGAACGGGAGTCTTTTCATAAAGTGAAAAATCTGTTTGTGAAGCAAGGGTTCCCCCTGTCTCCTGCTCTTTACCTGGATGTCCATGCACCAGGGGTGCTTTCAGACAGAATCCACTTCCTGTGAGCCCTGGGATGAAGGGGAAACTCCCCTGGGCCCCGGCCCACCCCACTTCTGTAATTCCAAATGTCCTGTCTTTGGGTTTGCACAAAGCAGGGGCACCTGCAGCAGCCTTGGAAGTGAGCAGGGTCGGGGCATTCCTGGGACCCGGGGCGCCCACCTGTGCAGGAAGGGTCATTGCGCAATGGGAGTGGCCTGGTCCATCTGTCTCTCGCAGCCTCTCTGCTGGACTTCCTCCTGCTGCCGACCCCCGGAGCTCCACCTGAGATGGGGAAATGGGCTCTCCAGGGCTGCACCAACCCCAGGAAATGCCCCAGGACAGTTTGGAGAGGCCCGTGTGGAGTCCAAGTGCAGAACAGCCAGGTGGCAAAAGGGGTCAGGGGCCAAAGGTCAAGGGCCAGTTAGGCTCTTGCTTTCTATCAGGATGCTAGATGAGGGTAAAGGTGACTCTTTTAGACTGACGTGCGTCCCCCAAGAGAAAAGAACAAGGTCTGAAAGCTGGCACTTCAGGCACACCAGAGACCTTGGGAAGCCCAGCTCCTGGTCTCAGACTTTAACTTGGACCGTGCTATGAGTGACCTGCGCATCCAGTGACCAAGTCACCCCAGGCAAGCCTGTGCCGCGGTGCTTACCGGCAGGGCCTGCTGCTGCAGAATGATGGGGGCCGGCTGGTGACGGCTCTTCTCCAGCTCTGCCCGGAGCTTCACGTTTTCGGCCAGCAGCACTGAGTGAAGGTCAACAGGCAGATACTCTGCGGTAGGGCCCAGGGGAAGGCCAGAGGCTGAGAGCACAGGGAAGGCTGTGACTGTATCACTCATACTCATGGGATGGGCTTTCTCGCCTCCATGTCTCGGGCTTGAGCTGCCCCAGCATTTTGCTCCATTCTGCCCGTCCTCCACGCCCAAGCCTTCAGTGGCTCCCTCCTGCCAGTGTGATCAGGGCCGCAGTCCTCGGGCCATCATTCCTGCTTCTTTAGAACCTGGCCCTAATGCTCTTCCTGACCACGGCACTGCCATTCGTCCTGCATTATTTCAGCTTTTCACCTCCCCTTCCTGCTTTCTCTGCTCCTGACAGTGTCGTTCCCTGGGCCTTGACCCTGGCTGCTTACCCTTTTCGGGTTGCCTGCTCACCTCTCACCTTATTCCTGAAAGGCAGGCCCAGCTTTCATTGTTTCCTAAAGGCCTTCAGAAATGGCCTCACACAGTGAAGGTTGAGTGCAGGGCCAGGCACACGGGGGTCCCTGGCGAGGCTGTGCCAATGGGCTCAGCGAAACCCTCGGCTTCCTGTCCTTATATGGTATGACCTGGTTCTCTCCTGCTCATCAGAGCCACCTCTGATTGGCAATTCTAGGTGGTTTTGGTTAATATCGATGGAGAAAACAAATCACTGACTTAACCAAAGTATTTTTTCATTTGTTTATTTTGTAGAAGGGACCCTTTGAAGATATGGGTTGATGAGGAAATGACCTGAAGGCTCCTGGAGGTGAGAAGCTGGGAACTGCCGTCCCAGACAGCCCCCTTTTTGGGGCAGCTCTGCTCTGCTCGCCCTGGTCCGCAGGGCCTCTGCCCTGAAGGCCAGTCTCTTTCTAGCCTGGCTCACATACTGTGTCCTGACGAGGCCTGGGGGGCTCCCTGTTGGAGAAGGGAGCTCAGGGTCCCTCTGGGGCTCTCAGTGCCTGAGTGAGGGGGAGAGCAGCTCCCTCTGCCCCAGTTCAAAGATACTCCTGAAACGGAAGCTTCAGGAAAGCAGGTGCTCTGGCGATGGGACAAAAGCTGGGGAGCAGACGCACCCACGGGGGGAAGCAGACTCACCCCCAGGGGGCCTTCCCTGCGGCCTGTACAGCAGGGGCTCGTTCCTATCCCGCAGCTTCTGCTCCAGCACCTGCTCCATCTTCTCTATCACCTGGAGGGCGGGGCACAGAGGACGGGCTAGCCTGGGGGCTGCACACTTCCTGTCTGGGGCTGGCCCCTGGCAGGCTGGCCCTCCTGGCACCTGCCTTCTCCTGACGCCGCACGGTCTCCTCCAGGGCCTTCACCTTCTGCTGCTTGTCCTGGTACCTCCTCAGCAGCGCAGCTTGTGGCTGCTGAGCTTGGCACAGGAGGAGCAGCTCCTTCTCTCTGTCATTCTTCTGACGGTGGGGGAGGGAGGAGAAAGTGGGGGAGAAGGGGCGCCTGGGCATCACCCTTGGCCCCGAGGGTCCACCCCAGGCCCCTCTGCTGAGTGTCCGCTGTCCAAGCCCCCTTCCCTCTGCGCTTCTCTCCCTTCTGCTCCCGGACACTCCTTCCCCGGTCTCCTTCCCTTGGCTCCCCGCTCCCTGTGCCCCCCAGCTCACTCGAATTAACTCGTTCTGCAAGTGCTGCACCTCATCCCTCAACTTCTTCATGCCCAGGTCACTCAGCAGCGGCTTCCGCCTCATGGGCACTGGTGGGTAGGGTTGGGGAGCTGGCTCAGGGGGGAGGCATCTCCCAGACCAAATCAGCGCAGCTGGTGGGCAGCAGCAGATGTCTGCCAGCCCCGGGGCTTGAGACAGGACTGGATTCTCCACTTCCCACCCGGCTCCTACCAGCCCATGTCCAGTAGCAGGCACGCCTGGGGAAGGCTCTGGGCCACCCTGTCCTGCACTCCAGAGCCTGGCTCAGGCAGAGGCCCAGATGCCCTCAGTGGCCTGTACACCCTCACCCAGCTTCTGGGCCTTGTTGGCATTGCTCTGTTCCGCTTCCTCCTCCTCTTGGGTCAGGTGGCTCCTCAGCATGCGGTTCTCTGACTCCAGGATGCTGGCCTGTTTCCGCAGCGACAGAATGTCCTCTGCCATCTTCTGCATGGCCCACTGGTAGTTGTTCATCTCCTGTGGATCCCAGAGCTCAGAGCTGAGCCCCCAGCTGCACTGGAGCCTCCACCACATCTACACCCACACCTGGATGTCAGTGGGTCACCCTCAAGGCCAACGAACAGAGTGAAACCCAAGCCACGTCCTTGAGTCTTAGCAGTTCCCTGGGGGATGGTTATGACTTGGTCTTCACTTATCCTGGCCACATGAGAACACTTGTCCCAGTGTTCAGGGGCCATGTCTCATCCCACGATGCTGACAGGGGGCACAGACACCGGGTGAGGGAGCCCACAAGCGGTGGAGACTGGAAAGGACCTGGGGCCAGGTTTCCAGGGCCTGGTTAAATCAGAGCCACTTCTCTGCCTTCTCCCTTCTCCTTTCCCCCCTTTCTAATCCTTCTCCTTCATGTCACTGAAAACCCAGGGAAGAACCTCTCAGGTATCCCACCAAGTGCCACCTGGGAGCTGACCCCAGGCACCAGCTCCCCACCCAGCCCAGGGGTCAGAAAGGGACAGGGGATGGGCCTGGGAGACCCAGATAAGGACTCAGAGTCAGGGTTGGGATCCAGCTACAAGATGTAGGGTGTGAGGTGAGGCCAGGATGCTGGGCTTCATTAGGTTAGGAGTAACAGAAATCCCACATCTGGTGCTCATTGAGCATTTACTATGTTCCAGGTCAGATCCTAAGAGGCCCTCCCTCACGTAGTCCTCACAACAAATCTGTTATCATCCTCATTCTACTGATGGGTAAACTAATGGGTGGCAGAGCCAGGGTCTGAAATCCAGGCCAGCTGGCACTTGAGTCCATGTTCCTAAGTACTGTGCAAATCCTGCCACCGTGCCCCCATATACGGAAACCTCACAATATATTGAGAAGTGATAAAAGCAGGCTACTGAAAAGAATTACCAGTGTGATCTCAATTAGGAGGAAAAAAATTCATGTCTGTCCTTATGTGTACATAGCAGAATTAATAGGCTATATTTCCATGCATTTGTTTTATAATCAGAAATTCCCTAGTGTTACTTAAAAAGGTCTGCAAAAGGAGTTTCTTAATTCTAAACAGCACAAAATATGAAAGAGGGACCCAAAATGTGAAGCCAGAAAGGTCCACAGAGGAGAAGGAAGCGGGAGCTAAGCTGGGGGAAGGAGGGGAGTCAGGCCAGCAGGAGTTTGTTCCGTCCTGGTGGCCTGTGGCTTTCCTGAGGCGTGGAGGCCTTGCACATGCAGGTGGCGACTCTTAGGCCCAGCCAGGCTCCCAAGTCCCCAGGAAGCAGAGCTCTGTCCCTAACTCCCAACCGGACCCCGTGCTGCCAGGACGCAGCCTGGTTCCCAGCCACTGCCTGCAACCTGCTGCATGGTGGGCCGCTGGCTTCCTGGGCCGTGGTTCCCAGACAGCAGGGGCTCATGAGACACCGCTTGTCACCTGCCACCGCCTAGCCTTCTGGCTGGACTCCCTCTCATTGGTGCCAATGCTGAGTCCATGTCCTCAGCACGTGCCCCAGTCAAGTTCCAGGTCTTGGCTCGTCCAGATCTGCCCATCTGGTGTCCTCAGACAGCACTGTTAACCAGCACACTCAGCGCAGAGACTGCACACCCAGGGCACTGTGGTCAGGCTGAGGTCAGAAGCCACAACTTGCTGAGTGAGCTTGGACAGGCCTCTTCACGTTTCTGGGCCTCAGAGTCCTAGTAGGCTAATCAATGGGCTGCTGTGGGGCTCAGAGGGAGCCCGTGCAGCATTGGCCGCAGGGCCGGCCGGGATGGGTACGACCTGGAGGCAGCGGTGTTCATCCCCTGGGTTCTGTTTGGTGGCTGCTTTAATCAACAGGTCAGACCCCATTCTCTTTCTCCTTGCTGCCCTCACCTGGGCTCCCTTGTGCCCTCACCTGCCATGCTCTAAATCTCAATTTATGGCAGCCCCGCAATTGACAGGGGCTTGGGAGGCCCAGTAGATGGTGAAGGGGAAACACATGGTATTTTAGAAAAGGAAATTTGTCCCTTTCTCCTTCCTCAGTCAGGAGCCCGGTTCAAGTTCTTACCATGTCTTTTCTGCACAGTTACAGCAGTATCCAAATGGGTTTCCTTGCTTACGGGGTTCTCGCCTAGAGGAACCCACAGGTCCAGAAAGACAGTTCAAAGGATGCTCATCGAAGTGCAGTTTGTGCAGCACAGTCAGTCTCTGTACGACAGGCAGAACTTATAAAGAATGACCTCGGTTTACTGTTCCAGCAAAGAGGGGCGTCCACACTATATTGTTAAATAGAAAAAGCATGTGGCAAGTGAATATGATCCCATCCACAACTAGTGAGTGAGTGAGTGTGCATGTGTGTGTGTGTGTGTGTGTGTGTGTGTGTGTTCTCACACACACGTGCATGTAAGTAACAGCGGCTACCGCTGAGTTTGGGAAGAGTAAGGAGCACTCGTTTCATCTCCAATTTTTGCATTTTTAATAAGAATGTCCCATATATTATTCATCTAAATAAAATAATTTAAACCTAAATACACTGAGGGTCATACTATGTTCATAGATTGAAAGACGAAATATTTAAAGAGTTAGTTCCTCCCTAAATGGATTGATAAGTCCGATGCACTTCCCCATCAAAATCATGACACTTTGTGTTATGTGTAGAAATAGATAATCTGATTCTATAAAGAGAAGTAAAATGGGCAAGTATAGCTAAAATATTTTTGAAGAAAAACAGGTGGGCCGATTTCCTCAGTCAGCTGTCAGGACTTATGATAAAGCTACAGTTACTAAGGCAGGATAATATTGGTGCAAAGATTGATAAGTAGGTCAAAGAAACAGAATTCAGAGGCCTGAAATAGACCCATAGATATATGGACACTTAATTTATGACAAAGATGGCATTATAGGGCAGTAGGAGAGGATTATAATTTTAATGAATGGTGTCGCATCAGTTTGATGCCTATATAGAAAAATACCTCCTACAAGTCAGTAAGAAGAGACAGACCACCCAGAAGAATAATCGACATGAAATTTGAACTGGCACTTGACAAAATAAGCCAGTAAACATGTGAACTGGTGCCCACCCTCATCTTTAAAACCACAGTGAGATGTTCCTATATACTCACTAGAGGGACTAAAACAAAAACAAAACAATCCTGACCATACCAGATATTGACAAGGGAGAGGAAAAGTATCCAGTGCCCAGAGGAAGAGGAAAGGTCACCATCACTTTGGAGAACTGCGTGGATACTGGGTGCTGTCAAAGTGGAAAGTATGCATGCATAGCCTATGATCTAGCAATTACACTCCCAAGTATGTACCCAACGAAGTGCACGTGTGAGTGCACAAAGAAGCAGGTGTAAGAACTTCCGTACAAGAATTATTTGTGATAACCCCAAACTGGAAACAACACAAATGCCCATCACACAAGAGTGGTGAGATGGCCATACAATGGAGTATTACACAACAATGAAAATGAATGGATGTCAGCTACCTGAAAGCATTTGGAGGAATCACTCAAACGTAATAATGAGCTGAAGAGGTTGGTCACAAAATAACCTACTTTATGATTTCATAATAGAACAGACAAACCTAAGCAATAGGGGCTTTCAATCCATTTGTGGGGGTGGAGGGAGTGATTGAGAGTGCATTCCCTTTGTGTCGTCACAGTGAATACACTTCTGTTTTGTGTATTTGCCTGCATGTGTCTGTATTGGGGACCTCCCAGCTCCCCACAATAATAGGATCTTCCCAGCCCTGAGCTCTGAGTGCTCTGGGGCCCTGCTCCTGGGCCCTCACCACTTCCAGAGGGGTGGGAGGCTTCAGCTCTACGTCCCCAGCAGGGCCTCTGAGGATGAGCAGGCACATTCACTCGTCCTTGCTGAGGGCCCTTACAAGGCCTCAGGGATCCTATGAGACTCAAATTGGCTCAGGATTGAATCCAGACTCGACGCGAAAACCTGTGTTCTTTGTACCTACTAGACTGAGGAAGGGTGGAGGTTTCACCCTTAGAGGGAAAAAGAATGAGGCCCTGGCTTGATTTTGAGCTGACTGGGGGAGTGGCCAAAGTCCGTCTGATGGTCTAAGGGTCCACTGTACCCTTTGTCTCTGAGGCCAAGTCCGCCTTGGAGTGAAGGTGGAGGGAGGGGTTTCCTCAGGGGTGCCTGGTGCCCAGGCCTTTCCTGTGTCAGGAGAGGTGGGTGTACAGCGTCATCTCACTGTCCCCACCCACACCTGGCCCAGCACAGTGAACAAACAGCGGATTTGGGTGGGTCGGCCTGATCTCACGGCCGGCTCACTTTCAGGTGGGGCCTGCCTCAGGTAGGGGTGAGGAGAGAGGAGCCTGGGCAGGGAAGAGTCCTGCTGGGTGCTGCGGTCTGGGGCGCCTTTGTCTGCATGTGTGTGTGGGTGGAGGCTGAGATCTTCACCGCTGTGGTTCAGAATGAGCTCCTGAGGTTTGGACCAGCTTCTTCCAGCTCTGCATCGGCTCAGATGCCAACCCTGAGGCCTGGCCTCCACGGCCTCTTTCACGCGGCCCCTCATGCACACCGACCGAGCCCCTCCTCTCTGGCGCAAGCTCATCTCCCCCTTCAGGCTGGACTATGCGGAGAACGCCCTCCCCCATTCCCAGCACGCAAACTCGTCCTTTCATTGCCCACTCAGCAGATTTGACCTGTGTGAGGACTGATGGTGTATGTGTGCCTGGGTGTGCCTGAGTGTGCACGTGCTGCAGAGTCCTGGGGGCATGGAGGCTGCCAGGCCCTGGGCCTCCACCACGGGTCTGCTCGCCCTTTTCATTCGGGGGCTCCCCCTTTCTAAGATCCCATTGTCCTTCATCTCAGCAGTTCTGGGGCTAAGCAAGACTCTGTTCTTAACATCTTCCCTTGACAGACAAAGAAAGCCAAGGCCCAGAGCAAGAGAAAAAGGGAACGGGGGTAGGCCACAGCCCCTGGTGAAGTGGGGTGTCCTCCCCTCAGCCAGGTGGCCCTGCTGGAGGAACAGCGAAGAGTTCTGGGGACCCCACCCCTTGGAAATAGGCCCTGTAGACATCCCACAGACCCCTGTGCCACCCCCAGCCTGGGCGCTCCCTGAGAGATGGGCCTTCCCAGGAGCTAGAGGGACCTTTGCCCTGGCTTATCACCCCCCAGTGTCCACCCTGGCCAGTGCCCGCTGTCCATGGGATGCAGAGAGGGGGCAGCCTGGTGGGCCTGCCCTCCCTACTCAACTTTGGGTGCCCTCACAGCTGAGGGGGTCCTTGGGCAGCAAAGCTGGGCTGGGAGGCTGCAGCCTGCAGGTGGGCAGCCCTGACCTTTCCCCGCTTCAGGGCCACACTCTGCGTCACAGCTCGGCCTCAAGAACACACAGGACACCGAGCCCCAGATTTCTGTTGCGATCCTGCCCCTGTGCCTGCGCCCCGCCTGACCCCGGTTCCCAGCCTGTTCTGGGGGCTGGACATGGTTTCACCTGCTTCTCTGTCTCCTCTCTGAGCTGGCACATCCTGCAGGGACACTGACTCTACCAGTGCCTGAGGCTGAGTGCTCACTCACCCAGTGGTCCCAACCAGGACCCGGCCCTCGGAGCCCGCAGAGCTGAGAAGCGTCAGGCAGCCCCAGATGCACATCATTCCCCTGCTGCTCTGAAGGGAAGCAGCTGGGCTCTGGGCCTCAGTGTCCTCATCTGTGGAATGGAAAATCACCTGTCTCAAGGCGTGGCTGTGGAGTAAGGGCGTGAGGAGGGCCTACCCGGGCCCTGGCCTTAGGGTCCTGCTCACTCCCACCCCTGTGCCACCTTCTGAGTGCTTTTTAAAGAAGTTATTCTTACAATAGCCTGGGTTCTGGGCACCGAAGATATGGTTATCTGACTGCTCCCATTTTACAGAGACTGAGGCCCAGCACCCTCCTTGCCCTTCTCACCATTCATTAAGGGGAGGGGTGGTGAGCTTTCCCAAGGCCTGGAGGGGGCAATGCTTGCCCCTTCTTCCCAACAGTACATCCTGACGTTGGGCTCAGGGTGGGGATGTTCAAATATGCCTGTGGCCACTACTATATTGATCAGAAAGGGCCCTCGTACCTTAGCTGTGCAGGTAGGGACCCTGAGGCTGGGAAGGGCAACAGTGCCCAAGGTCACGGAGACTCAATATAAAGCCTAGGCCGGAGCAGCTCATTAAACACTCGGGCTACCAACGCTTGCTGAGCACCACTGTGTGCTTGGTTTGTGCCGTGCCAGGACCACAGAGTCCAGGGAGTCCGGACTGTCCCTGCTGCAGTGGCCTCCTGTCTGCGTGGGGGAAACAGCAGGAAGTGCCTGGTACAGAGGATGCTCTTAACCCAGCCTGGGGGCCAGGAAGGCCTGGAAGATAATGTGAGTTGACTCTTGAGAATGAGTAGGTGTTGCCTGGGTGTGGGGAGGGGCTCTCAGGACAGAGGAGACAGTGGCCAAGGTGGGGAGGTGAGAGAGTGTGGAGAGGGAAAAAGCAGGTGGGTTTCTGGGAGCAGGGGAGGGGGAGGGGAGTGTAGGGGTGTGGCTGGAGAGGCACAGGGCACACGGAACAGGTTTTTGAGGGTCAGTCTCAGGGGCTTGGACGTCATCCTATAGACCACTGAAGAACCTAAGCGGTGGTGCGTGTGTGTGCACGTGTGTGTGTGCGTGCGTGTATGCATGCGTGTGCGTGTGTGTGTGCGTGTGTGTGTGTGTGTGAAAGAGAGAAGATCCCTCTGGCTGCCCAGCCCAGGGGACCAACAGGGGTCTGGAGGCCAAGAGCAGTGAGTGGGCGGGGATGGGGACAGAGCTGCCTGAGCGGAGGGGAGTGGGGAGTGGGGAAAGAGTCTGGGGTCCTCGGGGAAGGTGGTCCATGCACAGAGTGGGGGGAGGAGGTGCTGGTTGGGTTCTCAGAAGAGGCGTGTTGGGTGTGCAGTGCCTGGGTGGCTGGGGATGGTGCAGGAGGTGGTCAGGTGGTCAGTGGTGGTCAAGCTTGGAAAGAATCTCTGCTGGCGATAGAGGGGAGGAGGGCAGCCCACGGAGGTTGAGGGAGCCTTGGAAGGGGGATTTTCTAGGGTCAGGGGAAGCCTAGAGTGAGGAGGGGGTTCGAGGGCAAAGGGAGGCTTGGCGGGGGGAGAGGAGCCTTCAAATCCAGGGTAACTGTCAGGGAGGTGAGAGGAAGAGGGGTGGGCTGCAGAGCCAAGGCCACAGAGCCTGGCTAATGGCACATAGGGTAATAGAGACCCCCCCTTCCCACAGATAACCTGAAAACCTGGATGCAAAGTAAAAACCACCTCCTTGAAAGTGTTAAAGAGCGGGTGAGAGAGAGGAATTACTGGACGGAGATGTGGGACAAGGGGACCCACCTGCAGGAAAAGCACCCAGCAGCAAAGAAGAGGAGCTGCAGCACAGAACAATCTCGAGGCACCACACAGAGGGATCTCAAAAAAAAGTCAAGCAAAAAAACCACATACAAAATAACATACATGTGTGATGCCCTTTGGAGAAAGTTAGACACAGGCTCTATTAGACCATACGGCTGGGGCGTCACACTGAGTGCCAAGGGCCTAAAGGAGCGCAGCCAGACAGCAAGAGGGCACCGGGTGCGTCTAGGCGAGGGGGTCCCACGGTGCTTCTGGGGGCTGGTGATGGTCTATTTCTTGACCTGAGTGGTGACTTCAAGGGTGTTTGTTTTGTAATACTTGGGTTGTGTTTTATTGTTATGTTCAGTACAACACGCATGGCTTATGTTTCACAACTTAAAAGTTGTGAGAGAAAAAAAAGAAAAAGACTTGATAGCTTCCAAATCCGCAGGGGGAGCCCCTGGGTGTGGCTTGAGGCGGCGCCCCCAGGGCCCTTGGCCAGTGTTCTGAATGACCGGAAGCACAGGGCCAGGGAGGGGAGGACTGAGGGGAACAGTGAGGTTAAGGACAAAGGCGGCTGGGGACACAGTCAAGGAGAGGCGTGCGGGAAGAGAGAAAGGGTTTTCTGGAGAATGAAGAGGCAGGCAGGGAGGGGTGTATGGGGGTGCGGGCTGGGGTAGAGGAAGGAGGGCATAGGCAGGTGTCCAGACACGTAGCCATGTAGGTGGCAGGGCTCTGAAGGGGTGCAGTGGGTGCAGAGGGTGAGCGGCACGGCTGAGCCAGGGCGCTGTGTTTGCTGGGCCACGCACACAGCCTTCCCCCCTTTGCTCTTCCTGGGCAGCCATCCAGTCTCTAAGGTCCCCAGGCCCCCGTGATCCTCTGCCGGCGCGCCCAGGCTATCTGCCTGTGGTTTGGCTTTACCGCCAGCAGAGGGCAGCCACCTCCCACAGATGCTCCACCTTAAGCCTGTAGCACGAAGGAGGACCGCCCCACAGCTCCCGGGGTTGGGGGGCAACATGCATACGGGCTCTCTTGCTATCCTCTAAGAGGTCCTGCCAATATTCCCACACCTCCTGCCCCTGAACTCTCATTTTGGAGGTTCTGATGGGTATCTTCTGCTGAGAACTATCTATGGAGGCCAGAGAGGTGCAGCGACTTGCCTGAGATCACACAGCAAATCCCAAATTTCACCTGAGGCCTCTGTCTTGAGCCAGCCCCAGGCCAAATGATGGGCTGAGTGAGGGGCAGATGGGTTTTGGACAGGAACCACCTCTAAGCACGGACGCAACCCCATCTAAAGTGATACCTGCACAAGAGCAGGCACCCGAGCCGGACCCTCATGCTGAGGGACAACTGGGAGGGACTTGGACACAGTTTAGAAAGTGTGCTAAACACACACACACACACACATACACACACACACCGCAAAACCTAAATCTTTTCAAGTCAGACAAGATTCTTCTACCCCCTTAGGAAAACACACTACGGCCACTAATCCCAGGTAGTGCCAGTGGGAGTCAATGGGGGCCTCAGGGCAGCAGCTGCCCTTTGTTTAACGCCTACCACTGGCCAGGCAGGCCCTTTCTATTCCTTTTTCTCTAATTCCAGTGAGTCTGCAGCGGCATGTTTTCATTCCCACTTCCTGAGGAGGAGGCTGAGGCCCTGAGCAGGAGTGCTGGCTGATGGCCCGAGGCTACCCTGCTCATAGGGGCAGGGCTACAGTTTGAACTTGACTCTTTCTGGATGCTGTTGAAGGAGTGCACTAGGCCCAGGGGGCCAAGCCTGGGGTGGGGGTACAGCGGTACGGTCACTAAGGTGACAGGCCGGTCACTAAGGTGACAGGCCGAGATGCTACCCTGCCCTTGACCTCCTTTGGCCTGCAGGGGGGCTATTTCTCCGAGGCCAGGTGTTTGCTGGGGGAGGGGAGGTGTGCACATGGCCCAGCCCCATCCAGTCCCCTTCAAGCACGAGGGATCTCCCCTCGCCTCCCCAGGCCCGTTTCTTGGTGTCCCTGGACCCCTACACAAGGCAAAGAGGGGCCGGTTGTATTCCCTCAGGACACCCCTCTGCTCCTTAGAAACCAGCTAATAACGTAGTGTTTCTATTCACCCCCTTCCCCAGGGATTTCCTCTGTGCAAAGGGGCATCTCCTAGTTGCAGGAAGTGCCCAGGCAGCAGGGCGGGGAAGCCCCTCTCACAGCTGCCGGCTAACTGGTCTGACCTCCACCGCCTCCTCCCTCAGACGGGCCTCCTGGTCCCTGCCGCCTTATAGCTGGGCTTTCTTTGTGCTGCGTCAGAACACTGCCTTTCTCCCTGGTAGATGAAAGATCGCTGAAAATGCTGTGCTCCCCCCTCCCTTTGAGACGCGGGGCCTAGTTCCCCTCCCCTTGAAACAGGACCTGCCTTACGGACGTGCAGGACACAGCGAGGTGAGGTTCTGGGGCCTCTGAGGCTAGGTTTTCAGAAACCTTGAGGTTGCTGCCCCTGCTGCTGGCACACTTGCTGTCCCCCAGGGAACAGGCCCTGTTACTCCGAGAGAGCCATGCTGTGAGGACGCGGAGGAAAGGATGTGGGAGAGAGCCGTGTCCACTAGCCCCCTGCCCTGAGTCTGTGCCTTGCCACAGGACTGAGGTGGATAGTAAAACGAAAATTATTGCTTTAAGTCACAAAGTTTTGCGGTGGTTTGTTACGCAGTAATAGATAACTGGAAGTTTTCCTGGGCTCTGGAGATCTTCAATGGCTCCCACATGCCCACGTGGAAAACTTCCAACTCTGAATTTCAAGGTGGTCTCCCCCAGCACAACTCGATGTCCTTTCAGAAATTAGCCATGGCTCTTCTGCGTATGGGGCCTTCCTGGGGGCCCTTGCCATCCTTGAAGCCTTCCTTGCGTTGCCAAGAAGCCGTCCATGACCCCCCAGCCGGGCCTCCCGATCCCAGCAGGGACCAGCCGCACACTCCCTCTCTAGCTCCTAGAAGACCCGACCGCATGGAGGGGCCTCCCTGACCTATTCAGCCTCTGGTTGCCGTCCTGAGGTGGGGAAGTAGGGCCAGGCAGACCCCCAGGAGTGGTGGCCTAGGACCCTGCCCCTGCCAGGTTTGCCACCATTTGCTGGAAAGAGCTCCTGCAGTTCTCAGTGTGTCTGAGAAGCCACTCCGGGCTAAGTGATCCAATAACTTTAATGGGAATTAACCACATTTCTTCAAAATAAAATAGCAACATTCAGCTTGTGCAAATTAGTGCAGGCTTCCCTCATTTCCCTAGAGCCCTGAGCAAGAGCCCAGTTCTGGGGGGTCTGCCTCAGTGGGGACGCAGAGCAGGGAGAGGTTGTGCTGCAGGTCTGAAAGAGAACCTTTCTCAGGGGTCAGGGCTCTGTGGCTAAGTAGCCCTCACTCAGTGGTATCCCAGGCCTATGTCTCTGGGTACATGGCCCTCTGCCCTTGGCCACGGCCCACCCAGCCAAACTCCCTTCCGTCTGGCCTGGGACAGTGCGGCCATGAGAACAAGCCCTTTCTTTTCCTCATTCCCTCTCAAACCGATTCACCACCAGAGGGCGGCCCAACGAGGCGCGAGAGCCCCGTTGGCTGGTGGGGACCGGAGGCCCAGGGTTGGTGCCAGAGGTCAGGTAGCAAGGGTGTACCCCACTGGGAGAGGCTGCACTCCGGGCTACACAGGGTACGGCAAGGCAGAGGGCGGACCGTCTCTGTGATGGGGCCATGGCCTTGGGGTGCGGGCCTGGAGGAGGTGTGGCCCTGGAGGGGCACTTCTCCACCTGCCACCACTCTTGAGGCCAAGCCTGGGAGCTCTGCTTCTGAACTGAGGGTAGTTCAGAGCCACAGCTGGTCCTCAAGCCAGGGGCCCTGCTCACCCCAGAACCCTGCTCCCAGTTTCTCCTGAATGTCAGCTGAGCAAATCTGTGCAAATTGCTCTTTAAAACAGGTTCCCTGAAAGGGAGGCAGTTGCTTCTTTGTTCAGTCCAAGGTTAGAGCAAAGAAACAAAAGGAATGAAGTTTCCCTGTCTCCTATTCATTCGTTTCCTTCCTGCTGCAGAGTTGGTTCCTAGAAAGCTTTTGTGCTTAGCACAGTGAAGCTTAGAGGGGCGGTGAGGCCTTGGCTGAGCAACCCCTGCCGGGGTCTAATTGGCCCCTGTCTGAGTCAGGCACCCTGCACTGGGGGTGGGGCTGGCTTGGGGGAGGGCTTGCTGGAGGTGCTCCATCTTTCTATTCCCATTTCCCCTCCCAGGTCTCCCAGACCCTGCTTGGCCTTCAAGGCTCCATTCTGGGCCCTCCTTCTCCAGGAAGAAATGCAACTCTGCCCTCCCCCTTCCCCAGGACCACTCTAAGCCCAGCCATTAATCACTCCTGGGGTTTGGCTCAGAGCCTTGCGTCTCCTAGACTCAGGTTGGGGCTGGCTCTTGCCCCCAGCTCAGGGTATACGGGGCCAGATGCTCAGGGGGCTGGTGAGGGGGCAGATCCCAGCCCTGGCCTCACAGGCCCCTGCTTGCTCCCCCATAAAGAACCCCTTCCCACTGGTTAGGGCTTTGTCAGAGCACTCCCTGGTTAGAGTGCTGCTGCCACGGAATAACCCCTGCGCAGTGTGGGGAAAACCCTGGCTGGAGTCCAGAGCCCTGGGTTCTAATCCAGCCTCTGCCTACCTCTGCTGTATGATCTTAAGGGAGGCCCTTGCCCACTCTGTGCTTCCTCATCTGCAGGCTGGGATGGTGATCCCTGTTGCTCTGGGGCTCCTGCCACAGTGGTGGAGCAAATACTCTGGTAAGTGGGATCTGAAGGAGAACGTGCGTCACTAACCCAGGCAGCACAGGCGCCCTGGCCTGGGGCCTATCTGTCTCTTCTTGGATGCCCCCGTCTGCCTCACCACTCGTTCTCAGAGCCCTGGAGAGTTCTGTCCCCCCAGCAAGCCCTCCCAGCCTGACTGCCCCAGGCTAGCCCAGGCCCAGCTGCTTTCAAGGATGTAGGGCTGGACCTCCAACAGGCTAGAGTCAGGGCCTGGATTGGCAAATGGCAATGGTCACTTCAAGGAATTTTCCCAGAAGTGCTTCTCTCTTCCCTCTCTGGGTTCCTGGCATCAGTTCAGGTGGCCCAGGCTGGGTCTGGGGGCGCTGCAGAAGGCTCCTGTGGCCACGGGCATCTAGGGGCTAATGCCTGCAGGCCTCACCTTCTGGTCCTCACCGCACCTTGTTCTGGGAACACCTTTACTGGTTGCCGCGCAACACACCCCGACACACCTGCCTACAGGTGAGCCAGCCATCCTCCCAGAACCAGTGGGTGTTGGGGCAGACTTACAAAGTGGCTGTCAAGGAGGTCTGGGGCAGCCTGGAGGGCTGGAGGGGGATCTGGCTCCCCCATCTTTCCAGCTAGCAGTCCTGTTCCCCGGGATGGGTCCCTGGGGACTGTTGCTACAACAAGTGCCTGCCTGGTGACAGAGCCCAGCCCTGAACTGGAGGCCGGCAGGCCCATGGGGCCACTTCCCCTTTGTTCTGGCTGGCGGGGGGGGGGNGCATGTGGGCGGGGTGGCTGGAATCAGGCTGGGCTCATTCCTTGGCTAAGGAACTGCAAGGAGATGGCAGGGCTTGGGAGGGCTGGGGGGGCCAGAGCCCGGGAAGGGGCAAGGCCCTGAAGGGCTCTGGCATCTGTCCCCACCAGCCCCAGTCCAGCGCTGCTCTTCCCCTCCCTGTCCTCTAGCGACACCTCTGTCTCTCCCCTTCTCTCCCTCCTCTGTCCCCCTGCCTCTGTACCCTCAGTCCCTCCCTCCTTCAGTCACCCCTGTTCTGCCGCTCAGTCTCCCTTCTCTCTGCTCCCCCACACCCACCTTGCCCCCTCAGCAACCCCCGCAGCCGGGGCTGGGCTCCTCCTGCAGCCTTACAGCCCCGGCTGGGGCCCCATGCCTGCCCCCAGGGCCTTCCCATATCTGCTTCCCTACTTGTCTGGACAAATTCCTTTCCTTTTAGTTCAGCAGAGACATGGGTGGATGTTTTTAAAAGGAACTCACTGGGAAGCAAAGGGAAAACAAACCCAAACAAGACAGCCCACCACCTAGAAACGGCCTTGGTCTCTAAGACAGAGTCGCTGCTTTAACTGCGCTTGGCTGGGTTGCAGAGACACCCCTCTCAGGGCATGGAGGGGTCTGTCTGGCTGTTTCCTAGTTGACTTGGGTCCAGCCTGTCTGTCCTGGGCAAGACCGGCCCCAGAGCCTTTCCTGATAGGACCCTCGTCTGCGCACCTGGAAAGGCGGCTGCGCTGAGCTGGGGCTCTCCAAGTATTTCCTCACCTCTTTAATGAACAGATGAATGAGTGCTGGGGTTCTCTGGGGCCTCAATGGTGGCACAATAATAATCCCTGACTGGATGGTCCAAGAGATGACAGCCTGACCTGTTTCAAAGGCTCCACCTTTGTCTAAGGCACCCCCTCTACCCCTGGCTGCTGGGTGCTGGCTCAGGATTCTGCAGGCTGGGGCCTCTGGCCTTTGTCAGGGTTGCAGTGGGGGGCGGGGTGGGACAGCTTCCTCTCCTCATTTGCAGGCCATTATTCGCTTAATTCACTTTTACTTGATGAGGTGTCTTTTGTGTAAGAGGGATGGAGCAGGGGAGTCGGACAGAACAAGCCCCGCACTGCTTTGCGGCCCATATCCGGGCTAGCTGGGGGCAGTGCGCTCTGCTGGGTTTCAGTCCCTGCTCTGCTACTAACTGTGTGATCTTGGACAGGGCGGTCAGGGGACCTTTCTGAGCCTCAGTCTCCTCCTCTGTGAGAGGGAGGGCATGGCCGCACCCATCTTCTATAGCTGTGGGGGATTTAAATCATCTTAAATCTAAGGCAGAGGCAGTTGCTTCAACTGCCCAAGCAGAGCTCCTGGCATGTGGGTGACTCTGCAAATGTTGTTCCCTCCTCTGTGCCACTCGTGGGAGTCCTGTAGGTCTAAGGCTCCTCTCAGGAAAGGACAGTGAGGGTCATGGCGGAGATGGCCTTCCTCTCTAGACAGCACCAGCCACCCAGGTAGCATCTCCAATATGGGGCTAGACTTTCCTGATATTGCCCCTCAGCCTGCCCACCAGGGAAATGGACTGCTACCTTCTTCTGCGTGTGCCCCTCTTGTGCCCTTCCTGTCCCAAGACCCTGGGGCCAGAAGCCTGGGATAAAGGTGAAGCCAGACTGATAACCTCTCCCAGCCTTGCCTTTAGCGCCCCCCCTCACTGAGGGGCCCAGTGCTCCCGCACCTGCTGCACTGCCAATCGATTGAATCTGCTCCCATCCTCAGGCGGGCCATGAATTTTTCATCAAAGGCCTGTAGACTTTGGGAAATGCACAATTAGAAGCTCCATCAATAATGCACCACGTGGAGGCCTCGGCTGTGCTCAGCCAGGCCCCAGACATGGCTGTCTTCTAGTCCTGCTCTGGTGGAGGCAGGAGGGGCACTGGGTGGACCCCTCAGGGGGTCTATCACTAGACACAGCACAAGTGTGGGATGCTGAGAGGGAGGGAAAGCCATATCTGAAAGGTTGAGCCTGCTCCTTGGAGCCCCAGTGGGACCTACCTGATCATAGGCACTTCATCTGTAAAATGGGTGCTAAGGTGTCCCTCGCCTCTGAAAGTGCGGTGAGACACAGCAGACAGTCGCTAGGTGAAGACTAGTGGGGCTTGGGGACATCCTTCTCCCATGGGGTCCCAGGAACAGGACAGGCATCAGGTTGGGTGGGGAGGAGGTGGAGGGGAACACAGAGATGCCCGTGGCTTTGGGTGGCAGCATTCACCGGTTTGGTGGTCAAGGTCTGATGTCATCGCAGCCCCATCCACTTCCAGCCCAGCAGGCGGCTCCCCCTGCACTGCCGCTTAGCACGCAGCTCCGCAGGGATTCTGTTCTGTCCTGCCTCTGTGCCTTTGCAGTTTCTCCACCAACAGTACGAGGTGCTGTCACCCAATGTCTGCATATCCATTCTTCAGAGGCTGCCTCCTGACAAAACTTCCTGCTCTCCTTGGCTAGGAGGGGTGGCAACTTCCGTTTTGAGTGTCTAGAGCCTGTGCCAGGCAGGTAATAACAGTAACAGCTCAGCATGGGTGGGCGCTGCTCCAATTATTTCTATGGTCCAGTCTAACTTTATTCCTCCAGTTACCCAACACAGCAGCTGTGTCACGCCCACTCTGCAGGGGAGAGTGAGGCAGGAAGGACTCAGGCAGTGCTGCGTTCCTCCACCCCACAGGCTCCTAGGTTGTGAGGCTGTCCCGAACACAGACCTTCCCCGCAATAAAGCCACCACATCGACACGTGGAGGGGAGAAGAGACCAGGAGCGAGGTGGTTTGTACCTGCACTTTTGTTGTGTTGTCAGATCTCCTTGGGGCCTGCGTAGTTGCAGGCCTTCACCAAGCCCTGGAGGGGCCCTTGGGCACCCAGGGTTGTGTGTGCCTGTAATGGGCAACCTGAGGCCTGAGGCACCAGCTCCTGAAGGCTTGGCATGTGCCAGTGAGCATGAGCCCCCATATCTGAAACCCTCTCCTGGCAGAAATGCCGCCAGCAGGCCTGGAGCACATAAGGAAACCATGAATCACCCCTCCCTCCCCCTCTTCCACCGCTCAGCCAGATCCCAAGCCCTGGCACCCAGGCAGGGTACAGAGTGGAGATGCCTGCGGCAGTGGACTCACAGGAGTCCAACAATGATGTTCATACAGGGGTGCTGGGAGGGGCGCAGGGCAGGGGCCGACCGGGGGAGGGTGGTCAGGGGGCTGAGCAAAGTCCCCTCCTTGTGTGCTTCCCCAGTTGGGTGTTGCCCTTGGCCCTGATGGATCCACTGCCTGTCCAAGACCTCCATGGCTCTCTCAGTGGGCAGCCAGGACAGTGGGCAGAGCGTCGCCTCCCATCCCTGGGGTCGCTGAGTACTGCCTTTCCCAGGCCCATCCAGCTCAACACATACTCTCCAGCAGGTCCCTTTGGCCAGGCTCTGTACTGGGCACTGGGGACACACGTGACCAAGGCTTGTAGCTTGTATTGTAGTGGATGTGGCAGCAGGCACAGTAAGATTTGCTACATCAGTACGGGCAGTGTAGCAGGAGGCAAGCCCCTCACCCAGGCCCCCCCAACCCCGGGGTGCAGGCAGAGGTGTAAACTAGGGCATCCTGGGGCTGGAATGAGTTTTGAAGGGTGAGTTGGAGTTTGTCAGGTGACGTAGGTGTGAGGAAGGGGTGCGTTCCTGGCAGGAGCAAAGGCGTACGGGAGGGAAGTGGTCTGGGGCACTGGGGGAAGTGTAGACAGTCAGGATGCGTGGTGAGCGCTGTGTGGGAGATGAGGCTGGTGTGGCTGCAGTGCCCAGTCGTGGGGCCTAGAATGCCATGCCAAGGCCCAGCATGGAGCCTCTTATGATCAGGTAAGGTGGGCTGGGCTGAAGCTAGATGATGCTGGCACCAAACGTCCGAAGGCCCTCCCAGGAGGCCTGGTTTCCTTGTGAACATGCCCAGTGTGCTTCCCAGGACAGGACACCAGAGCCCAAAGTGGGCGAGAGGCCGCCCACTCCTCCCCGGCACTCCCACGGCAGGGCAGGCCCAGCAGCTGTTCCCCTGACGCCAGGGAAGCCTGACTGTCTTGGGAATCTGCTAGGGCCGGAGGGACGTCTATCCGAGCTGGAAGAGCTGAGACCTTCTGGAGGAAAGAGCACCCCGAGAGGAGCAGCGCTGGGAAGCTGGTCCCCAAGAACCCTGTGACGGGGAGAAGCCGAGGGCAGCACCAGCAGGAAGCTGTCTTTTCCCAGCTGTCTGGGTGGGCCACCCGCCTTGGCATCCTGGAGCCACAGGCTGCGCCAGCCCTGCCCTGGGGGCTGCCCAAGTCCGGGATCCTGTGCCACCCTGCCTCATGCTGCTCCAGGAAGCAGAGACTTGGCGGTGGCTTCTCAGCCCCCTCCAGCCCATGGCCCCGTAACGCGGCTCTTCTCCGAGCAGGGAGGTGCCAAGCTCCAGGCTGTGGGCGCGGACGCTGGGACCAGGAGCAGAATGCCCTCTCTCAGACCGGGGCAAGCAGTCTCCCAGAGGATGGCTTGGCTTGTGTCTGGGGGACTTCCTCAGGAGGGTGGAGGCTCTGCCTGGTGGGGTCAGGCTTAGAGGGGATGTGCAGGGCGTCAGGCCCAGGACGGCTCCTCAGGGCGAGGGCCTAGAGATGGGGGGGTTGGGGGGGAGATGAAGGGAGAGGAAGCCTTGGCCCCACTTTCAGGAGGCCTGGACTGAAGGAGGTGACGGTGCCCCACCTGCAGAGCCCTGAGCCTGTCGGGCAGATGTGACCTCTGCTCTGGGAGCCCCCCTCTGGGGGTGCATGTGCCATGTCCCTGCTCTGGAGCACATCTGAAGAGGAGACAGGACCCACACATTCCCGATAAGGACACATGAAAGGGACAGATG